TAAAGTATTTTCGAAATAAAAAGCTCTTTTGAAATTTAATTTACGAAAAAAATTTAGTATAGTTTCCTCCAAAAACTATTCTTCTACCGAAAGAAAAAGCAAAAATCATGTCAAATGAGCCCTAAATAATACAGTCAATAAAAAGTTTAATATTTGCACATTTAATTGACTTTATGATTCCATTCTATATCACTTGTTAGATTACAGGTAAATAATCCTCGGTTTGTACGAATAACTCATATTTGGTTTAATTAAAACTAAAATTTTCAATACATTTTGATAAAAGTTGATGAAATTAGTAGATAAAATCTGTGACATCATGAAATATATAGTTAAAATAAACTTTTGGCTCCGACTTTAATTTTTTGATCGGTTAACTTCAATTTTTTTTCAAAATTTCAAACCACACCAAACAGGGACATTGCATTTTCCAACAGTATTATAGAAAGAAAGTTCATTGGAAGAAAATCGTTGGCTTTTTGGCTTTTATCTTTGTCTATTACATAGATAAATAGATACAAAGTACTTAGAAGAAAACAATCAAAATATATTTTGAATGTAATCGTCCTTTATGATATTGTGCGTGTTTATTAAATAGGAAAAGCAAACGCGGGATGATCCATACGATAACATTTGTCCCGCTCGCTCAACTTTTTAATTTTGTCTTGAGCGATTTTGTTTCTGTTCATTTAACTTTTAATATTATTGTTATATAGTTTAAATGTAAATTAATTTAAAATCTTAAAAATTCAACTAAAATAATAAGAGGAAAAGTATAAACAAACTCCTTATCCCGTTCCCTACGCTCAAAGTGCTTGCCATCTTAGTGGGATAAACAAAGAACGTACAAAAATATTATATTCATTGTATGATGATACGTTAAGCAATAGTTTTACTTTTTAGACTGCGATAAGATTAACATTATTTGTATCTAAGGAGTTACAGAAAATTTTACATATAGATGATGTGTCAAGAAGAGATCGGAAAAGATTATTGTTATCGTTATTATTTTTATTTTTTTAAAAGAAATTTTGATTTAATCATATCTCACTATTTATGTACTATATGTAATAAATTGTTATATGCATCTAACTAGAGTTGGGCAAATCTCCCGAACCGAACCCGACGGTTCTTGTCAAATTAAATACCCGAACGGGTATCTGAATTAAGAATTGATGGGTACGGTTCGATTCTCGGTTCTAAACTAAGAACCGAAGAACTAAATAAGAATTGAATCTTTTTAATTTTTTTTATATCGAATAAATCTAATTATTTTAATTTTAATTTTTTAAAACTAATTAACAAATTAACAATTTCTAAATCCAAATTTTTGGCACAATTACCTAATTTATTATTTCATTTCTTAGCCCAACAAAGATCGAACCCACTAAATAACCCTAAATACCTACACTAAAGTGCATAACGCTGTCTCGACTCTCGTACTCACTCTCGCAGCATCGCTGACATTCCAAAACCTATACAATCGTCGGTTGACACTGTGACCTCCAATAGAAGCTGTGACATCCACCGATCGAAACTTCGACTGTAGCGATTATTTAAACAAGGTAGTCTACTAGTCTCCGACATTCAAAAACCATTGAATGTGTCATTAGTTGTATTTATATAATGTTATTATAAATGTTAAAAAATTTAATTATAGTACGGAACCGAACCGAACGGTTCCATAATTATATTTGAACCCGATGGTTCCATTTACTAGATACTCAAAAATTTTGGTTCAGTTCGATTCTCTTTATAACTGAACCGAACCAATCCGTGCCTACCTTTACATCTAACACAATCGTATTTGAGGTTTTGACGATACAAGAACCGAATCAAATGAAAACAAAGAAAGAGTTTAAATTAATTCCAGAATTAAAAAACAATTTAAAATCCGAGGGTGATGAGATTATTTTAAAGCATGATTGGGCATCTTTTCTAGCAATCATAAACTCATTCGAGACTTTTGGATGTCGTGTGACAGCAAATAATAAAACATTAAATTAAAAGTTCCCTTTATTTAATAAACAAATTCTTTACAAAGATTATTTAAATCAATATTGTCTGTGATGAAAACCTGGAATCAGACTCAGAGCCCAACCGACTTTCCTTTTTCTTTAATCCAAAAACCAATAGATTATGCGTACTGCTCAGAAGCAAGACCCATAGAAATGTTCGCCAATGCAGCGATTAAAACAGCAAAATTACGCAGCTTCGCCAAGAAATTGCATTCCCCTACCCCAAATTAAAATATTATTCATTACAAAAATAGAAAATATAACATTGTATGTCAAACATGCCTATAATGTCTTATGTATAAACAAGCACCAAGATTATTTTTATATAAATATTTGAGATATAATAAAGTTTTTTGTACAAAGCAACGTTGGATGTGATTAAAAAAATAATCAACAAGCACGCAATTTTGCATTTAGTCCTTTTTTTAACCTTCCCAGAAGAATGTGCATATATGATTTCTTGAAATGGAAGAACGGACTTTACAATACAGCAATGTAAAACAGAAAATTCTACATCAAATGGCCAATTTTTATGTCGAGAATTATTTATTAATAAAAATAGGTATTACAGCCATGGTAAATAGCTCTACCAAATTATTGTATTTTACGGTATTTCCGACACATTAATATACCATGAAGGAATGCCCAAGTTCAGGATTTTAGTTACAACATCCACCAATTTTCTCACTATTCTTGAAAAACGGAAAATAGATCATTAGCTGAGAAAAAGACATGACCTCCATTTATTGCACAAGCATCTCCTTTGGATTAGCACCTGTATGAGATAAATAATAGAAAGTGGCACAATCTCTATTAACATCATCAGCTGTCCAAGTAATTACAAACCTTCAAGGTTAAACAGACTAAGTGGATCAGATGGAGGAGAAGAGTCAAGCTGCTGGTTGGGTTTACCTTGCTCAAGAAGGGGAGATTCAGGATGCTCGTATGGTTCTGCAGGATCAGTTTCAAGAGGCTCAAGCTTTGTAGTTGTTTGTATTTGATCACCAGGTGGCGGCTCAAGTTGCTGGTACTTGGGTTTATTTTTCTCCAGGAGAAGGAAAGTAGTGTAATACCAAAACAAAAGTATTCTACTTTGAGCTATCACTGTATCTCTTATCCGACTGCCTCCAAATGAAAGCCGTTCAAGTGCCTGAAAATGGGAATGCCCGCAAAAGAAAGAAAAAATTGGATAAAATGTAGTAGTAAAACATTTGTAGGAGAAGAAATAAAAATACAAAGTCCTACGCTGGCCATTAGTTATATAAATATATGGAAGGAAATGATTAATCCATATTTAATGGAATTTGATTAAGAGTTCCTGTATTTCATAGGACAGTTGAGGGAAGTTAATGGAATTTGATTAAGTGTTCTTGTATTTCTTAGGACAGTTGAGGAAAGATTAACACCAACTGTGACAATCAAGAGTTAAAATCCTGAAGTCTACATCCTCACGCAAGCTCAAGGTGGTAGAATTGAAACCAAGCGAAGATTGGATGGTAAAAATGTACTAATATAGGTCAACATTTCCCTTGAACTCTGAATTTTGAAAAAGAAACAAGATGATATTTGAAATGTAAATCATGGAATCTAGACTGCATCAGTCTTGAAGAGAGTTGAATAATATAGCTAATGATGAGAGGACCACTCGTCAAACACCACTCTTGTTTGCTCATCATCAAGTTCCAAGTTTGCTACTGCCCTGATGAAGAGCCTTCCTCCGATCGCCAAGACAAAGGTAGCTACAAGCAGAACTCATTTAAGGAGAAAACGTTATCCTCTCAAATCCGATGCAAAGACAAAGTATGTTAAGACAAAGCTTGTTGCTAAGCCTGAACCCACTAAAGAAGGTAATGCTAGCAACTAAGAAAGCTTCGCAGAAGGTGTAGGCAATTTGGAAGAAGGCAGCAACTGAGGCTAATTTGCTGGTGAGACCATTTTGAGTCAAAAAAGAACTAAAAGAACACATACACGTACACCAAGTCTTACGCCATCAAGAGGCTAGTAGAAGAAAAAGTGCCCGCGGAGGCCAGAGGAAAGAGGACCTAAAACAGCATTTCTCTATAAGGCAAAAGGAGAGCCAAGAGAGAACCGAGGCACATCGCTTGGTCAAGCAACAAGAACTACAGTCGGATGGTGGTCAAGCAGGGAACCTAGTGGGTAGTAAGGGACTACCACCCACGGACCAGCAGTAATGCAAATACAGAGAATATGCAAGAAGGCAGTTGAGCAACCAAAAAAAAAAAAAAAAAAAGGAATAAAAAAAGAATCTTCTATGTTTAATTAGCCGAAACGGAAGAAAAATGAGATCCCCATGCAGGTCACAGAAGTTGGATACCAACCGGAAAGTGATACAAAGAATAAATGAATCAACATAATGCAATATCACAACTCTTTAGCTAACGAAATTAAACTCTTGCACCGTAACAAGAAAATGATAAGATGTAAAATAGAATGTATATAGTCTTCACTCACTTGTTCACCAGATTGTATATCAAATGAGTGCTGATGATCAAATTGAAGGCCAGTAAATTCGTTTATGCAAAGCCCTTGAAATCCCCTGAAAGTAACAGCAAATATAAAATCTACTTTTTATGCAATTTTCCAAGGGGAAGGAGAGGATTGATCTCTCCTCCACTCAAATCAATGGAAACCACAAAGCATTTGCAAAATAACTATGAATAGAATTACCATCTTATGAGAGAAATGCGGGGAATCCACCGAAAAATGATTGGCGTGTTCTCTGCATTGACATAGTAGCCTCCAAATACAATGAAAACTGTCATAAGAGACGGTCCTAAGGCCAATATTGCTTCAGTGGTTGGAACCATAGCTCCCACAGTTAGGCCCATTGCAGATACAGCAAAGGACTCGACGGTTACTATTCCACAAAACCTCCTAAATCTATAAAGCCAAACTTTTTAGTTAGTTTTCAGAAAATACTGTGCAACTGATCCAAGCAATTATTCTCTATGCAATGTGTAATGGCAAACCATTTTACTTATTAAAAAATCAAAAAATAATGGCATAAGATTTTACTTAAAAAGAAGTGGAACAGTGTCAACAAAATTCAGCTGTTGCATCATACCTCGATTAATGAAATTGAAAAGTTCAAAGTTGTGTACTTGCTTTGTACCGTATCCAGTTAGTTGTTATAATGAGACAATGTCAATGGTCTTTCTGGAGTGTGTAAATGATTATCACCATGCACATTACCTTCTGTTTTCACAAATTCAAATTAATTCTCTATGGAACTTAAGGTTATGTATCATCTTGCCTACAATTAAGAAATTAAGAACAGAACCTAAACAAGTTTTATGATGATTATCAAACCGATAATTAATTACCAAAAAATAATACAACAATTCTAACTGCAGGATCCTCATCAACTAGAGAGATCACTGAGTGAGATTCATTCTTTTTATGTTAACCCCTGCATTCAGAACCTAAACAAGTTTTATGATGATTATCAAACCGATAATTAATTACCAAAAAAGAATACAACAATTCTAACTGCAGGATCCTCATCAACTAGAGAGATCACTGAGTGAGATTCATTCTTTTTATGTTAACCCCTGCATCTTTGGCTATGCAACAAATAGAACATGTATAGAAATATGCTATGCTTTGTGATAACAAAAGCATGAAGCTATACATAGTCCAAAAAATTTAGAAGATTTCACTTCAGGTCAAAACTTTGGGTTTCAGGGAGATTGTGTATTATCTCCATTCAATCAAGAGGGATATCTTCCTCACAACAGCATGCTCCATCTCATAATAGGGAGATACTATGTCAATTTGCCTCCAAGGTATCATTCAAGGTCAGCAAACTTATAAGACAATATGGTTAAATATAAGAGAAACCAACCTTGACATGGTAGGATGAAGACGAGCCATGGGGTACAAAATGGTACCAAACAGCAATGGGAATGCTGCTCCAACGGGAATCTCAGCTAACAATTTTGAGAGTAGATATGGTCCCAGTGAATAGGACCCCTTGGCTCTCTCCCTGTCGACAATTGCACGTTCCTTAGGGAAGACACTTACAGTCTTTGTAAGTGCAGCCATTGCAGTGTTTATGGCAGCAACCTGAAGGATAGGGCAATATAAACCCAATGCATAAGAGACACCTAATTGAAGACTCAAACATCCTTTATCCTAGTATACCTCATATGAAGTTGTATGGTGATCAAAGCTATACTCATATACTTATTTCTGTCCTTCATTTAGCAGGAAGAACAGTTCTTTGAAAATTGACCCTATTTAATTGCATGTGTGAACATGAAAACTAAAGATCAAGAACATTCTATGGGCTTTATAATTACACTATTCATTTTGCAACTCATAAGATATAAATTATGGAAAAGACTTAAAAGAAGTTTGAAGGATATGTGGGTTATAACTGGATGTAATATCCAAGTAGAATTAACAAATTATAACACCCAACTTTAAAAACCACGAAAATTCACATTCATGACCTTGTGGGTAGGACATTCATAGCATATATACAGAAGTGTATTTAAAAACCCCTCATAGGGCATAGATATCTCTTTTCAAAAAGCCTCAAGTTCCAAGAAGAAGACATGATGATGTGGTTTTAAAAAAAATTAAAAATTAACAAACAACAAACACAATAGAAATTGTTAAAGATCAACAACTTCAAAATCCAGACCCTGACTTCAAAGAAAATGGTCTTTTTGCTCTTATGTACTCTATTTGTTCAGTATGTCTATATTTGAAAGAATTATCTAAGAAGTGATACTCACTTCTATTGCATGCATGAATCTAGATTACAGGGGAGAGAAAAAGGATGGTTGTAAATGAAAAATGAAAATCTAAGATTCATAAGAGCATTCATAGTCCGGCATAAACAAAAACGTGAGTTGAAGTTCCATCAACAGAGTTTGAGTTTCAATGAAAGCAACAAGAACACTAGAAGTTACTCCAGCAATGCCAGAAATAATTATTCAAACAAATATTTGGTATTGTGGAATTGTGCCATTGGATAAGAATATCCTTTGCAATAACTTAGGTCCCCATAACATTTAGTTGTATTCAATTAGTCAGAAAAAATTGTACGTCAGTGGGGCTAGATATATATTAATAGGGTACTTGCGATGGGAATGTACAAAATTGAAAGGGGGTGATGCCCAGACCTCTTCTCAATTGTACTGAAAATATATGCTGATATTAGACTAAATTGCAACCAGAATAAATAACCTTAGCACATTTTTCAGAAAAGACAAGTTAAGATTGCACACAAGCCGAAGTAAATGTCATACCTGAAGCAATCCCATTCTATCTTGTATTGATGTCTGTGATCTACCCATCCTCCAGAAGACAGAACCAAATATGAGAGCTGATGCAATTGACATTCTTGCTCGAACCTTGTTTGTTGGGCCGTCTCGAGAAGCCTTTTATTGATGGGCAAGTATCAACCAAATAGGGCAAGCATAACAATTAAACGAACACAAAATATCCAGTCAAATAATGAGTTCTAATCATATGCAGAAAGGGAGGTTGACCGTCTGATAAGCAATTCCACAACAGCCTATGAGAATCTACAATGTCAGCCATTTGCAGCTATTAGATTGTTTTAAATGTTCACTATTGACTTAATTCATCAGGATCATGATAGAAAGGAAAAATAAGAAGTGGAAAGTCGGCATGAATGTTATTTAAAATTCAGCTAGAAACCCAAGCACCATCCTCTTTCACGTAAGAAAGAAAAGAAAGGTGTCCTCTCCAGCAGGGAGGAACTAACTATTAAAATAGATGTGTCAGTAGTAAAACACAAGTAAAGATATGCAATATTTTGGACTGCACAATCCTGTTTGCTGAACATTTTATTTCCCATGCAGCATAAATAAAAAATCCAGCAAATACTACTGTCCATATATTCTAATCACAGTATGCCAGAGCCCTATTACAAGTTTGTCTATTCCTGTACAAAATGAGTTCACTCATTTCTATTATCCTTTCACTTAGCCCCTGTTTGGCTTGGATTAAAATCAAATTAAAATCTCAAGTCAAAGTCAACACTTAAATTTAACAATAGATTTCATAGGATCCATAATTTTTCAACCACACATTTCATTAACTTTTATCAAAGTCTAATAAAAATCTGATTTTAATCTACGTCAAACAGTAGCTTATTCTGGCAATATATTATGGAGATTCATTTTCCATTTGACTGCTTTTCCATGCAAGTTTACACAACATGACCTTAGAGTCCCTCAAATGAAAGGTTCTAATAAACTGCAGAATTCTTCAAGTAAAGAGATTATGGGTTCCACCTGCATCCATGCGCGTTTAAGAAGTAGCCAGAACTGCCTCCACCAACCAACTTTCTTTTTAACGACAGTTCTCTTCCTTGAGTTTATGTTGTTCTTAAGATCCTCCCTGGTAAGTGGAGTTGCATATAGAGTTAATGATGTCTGCTCAGCAAATGACTCAACGAGACCATCTATCCTTTTCTGAGAAGCATTGACACTCTCGGCAGAAGTATAGTCTACTGATATAAGATCAGCCAAAAATTCAGCGGGATTTACATGATCTGGACAAATGTACCTGTCATTTATTTATTGACTTGATCAGTACTCATTTAACAGGATGAAGTAGCAAACCCATTAACATAAAAAGGTGTATGTGAGTGATAGAATATTCAAGTGAAAATAAGTTAAATAAGGATACTTTAACATGCCGTATGCCAACAACATATCAATAAAAACATGACATCATTCGGCACAGAGAACAGTTTAAATTGTATACTAGTGCCTATTCTGTCAATGTCGTTTATCTTGGAAAGAGTCAAATGTAAATTGTCTCCATTTAGGAAAACTAACAATAATACTTTTATTAGTAAATGATTAACCATACGCCTATTAATATATAATGCACACTAAAAACAACCTATATGTTTTTGACACAGTGCAAGCCTGTAATTATATCTCAAAGAGAACTTCTTTGTGCCACTATCAGATGACCACATTTGATATAAGGATTACCAAAAGCGTAGAAGGATTCATCAACAACGCATGTGAGCCACTCTATCTTGTAGAAACCAAGAAAGCTTGACAGTGGGAAACTTGGTTCTTCCTAGAACTCACAAGAACCATCAAGCTGATTCTTACAGAATACAATATGTAGATGATGTGGTAAAAAATATGATGGACGTTTAAATGTACTAGAATACAATATTAAGGAGCATGAAAAGAAGTGGATTGTTTTATTTATATATATTATCACAAAAGCTTAATAGATGAAAATGGAGAAACATAACAGGAAAAATTCAGGTAAGTCATATGCAAGAAGGTTGTTATGCCCAAACTGCACTCAAAAATCCTACTCATAACCTCCTTTTATATACAAGTAATTGGACACACACACATATATGCAGTTAATCCCATATTTCACATGGAATAACAGCAACCTGAACAATGTGGACCTTGTATGCTAAGTATACATTAAAGGGCATCCCATAACTCACCCAAATTTTGAAAAGTAAACCAATACTTCATCACGTGCAGGACCAGCATAAACGAGTGCGCCTTCTGTCAGTAACACAATGTCATCAAATTTTTCATAAACCGAACTTCTAGGCTGGTGTATAGAGCAAATCACAGTGTGCCCATCCTGTGCAAGTTGTCGTAAGTTTTCCATCACTTTCTCTGCCTGGAAGGCATCAAGTCCTGAAAGCATCATTTTTACAAGTAATCAGCACAAATTAAACATTACTGCATTATTAATCTGTCATGAGAAGGGGGGGAAAAACAAAGAGTAATGTGAGAATAACAAGGAAAGAAGGGAGTTAAATGTCGCAATGTGGAAATCTAACTACTGCAGATATGTTTCAAAACATGGTAATTAGTTCTAATTAACAGGGTCTGCAAGGTATTAAACAGGTTTAGGGGAAGCATTAGCTAGATCAGTTAACTGTTACAGCTAATTTCTGCCATAAATTTAAGAATATAGTTATGAAGTTGAGGATTTAGACAAGCCTGAATCATTGATTAGGAAATGATGTTCCAAAGAAAGAGGTAAAAGAAGAAATGCACACCGTTTGATTGATATTACAAGACAGAAGGAGCATGAGGGGTAAAGTTACAATGATGTGCGAACTGCACAACAAATCATGCACATACTCAAGAAAGTTACATGTCCATGTTGGACATTGACACTCTTTAGACACTATACAATAGCGGACCCCTTGATTTGTGCAAGAAATTTAAAAAAAAGAAAAAAAATTATATAAGTGAAGTGCAAATAATTAGTTAGTCAAATTTCCACTAGGATTAGATAAAGAGAAAGGATAGGAGTTCACAAAATTAGCCTGAGTCACTTCGTCCTAACTTCAAGTTTCACCACATGATGTGCTCAGGTTAGACCTTGAAACTACAAAATCAAAACAAAAGTGAAAAGCCAAAGTAACATAAAAGAAACAGATCAAGCTCAATTCAGCATGCTATTTTAAGCTTGAATAGCCCTAATCTTGGTTAACAAGGTTCTGAGGCTCGATACTGTTCAGAACTCAAAATATTCCAATACAGTTCTCTTTACAGAGATTTACAGACAAAGACGATCATGATGTTTAGGTCAGTAAGTTTCGTAGGGGTAATCATACATCTGTATTCATATAATATGCACTTATTTCATCATTTGAACATTCTGTATGCGTACACTTCACAATGCATACAATCTTTGAAAGAGCTGTTTGCACAAACTACTTCTCCCTACATCAGCTACTAGTTAAAGACTTATTTCTAAAACATCCTTTAACGTAAAATGAAATTGGTTTGCACAGTCTATGAAAAAATCTGAAATTTTGAATTAGATGAAACTAAAAAGAAAGAGATGAAATATCACGTACCAGTCGTAGGTTCGTCAGCAAAAATGACAGAAGGACTAGCAATCAGCTCACATGCAAGTGACAATCTTTTCTTTTCACCACCACTGATTCCACGCACTTTTGCATCCCCAACATGCGAATCAGCGCAACTGACCTTTAAGAGAAATGACGAAAATGCAAGAAAAGGAAAAGAAATGAACAGGAGCTATAGCTTTTACTTTAAGTGAGGTAGTTTGCTTTCAATAATACAGGTGGCAGAAACTGATTTGGACTGAAAGGGCTAAAGTCATTCTGCATTAATGCATTATGAGCGTGTCTTACTCTTGATCTGAAAGCAACAATAATAACTTTTGTCATACCAAATCCTACGTGGCATCTCGAGGCAACAATAATATCTTTTGTCATACCAAATCCTACGTGGCATCTCGAGGCCTAACAACCAGACATGATAGGTAAAATTATGCACAGAAAAGAAAGAAATCTAAAGGTAATATATAAGTCCTCAAAACGATTGAAGGGAGTCAGCCGGCACTATCAAGCTCAATACCATTGCCTAACATGCTAGAAAGGTCCTAGCTTGTATCGTGCAGTGCGTAAAGGACAAAAAAAATCTTGGACATAGAAGTCAGATTGGTAGATATTTCTCAGATTGGCATTCATTGTTGAAACTGATATGGGTCAGAAGCCTACCAAACATGAAAAACAGGTATAGCACGTCCAAACTCACAAAATGCGACAGTTTGCCTGCTACAAGAATTGAAGGACCATGCAGTTGCAAAAGTGTGGCTCTTCTAACTCACTAGACTATAAATACAAAGCCATCACTCTATACAAGGTAAGAGAAATGTAAAAATCTATTAAACTTTGAATCGTTTCTGCCTCTTCTACAATAACTCACATAAAAGCGGAGTGATATCACCTACCGCCTCTTAAAGGTATATCCCACATTCTTTAAATATGAAACAATTATCAACTCCACTTAACAAGGTCGACCTTTTAAATTGAAATCCAAAGGCAATATTGTTTCGGACCCTAAAAAGCTCAAATGCGTAATTTGATCCGTATAAAATCTCAAATGAGTAAATGAATTCCAAGATTGATATTCTCAAACGAGTCTAATGGATGCTACTTATTTTAACAAAATTGAAATTTTAAGCTGGAACCCCAAGACTTAATGTCCCCAACTTCTGATGGTTGTAGATTGTCGACAAGTTTAAGCACTTGCAAGTTGACTGTATATGCTTAGTGAATTCAAATGTCAAGATCACTAATGCCTCGTGTATTTGAATTAGACTTAACAGTAAATTTCGTATATAATGGCAAGAATCATAGTCAATAAATCAACAGGAATTTTTTTTAAGTAACAACAAATGGAAGATGGATGGAAACCTGAACATAATGTCCAGCGTTTCTAAATTTGAAAGCAAAATCATCTCACACAAATGAAATTTGAAAAAAAATAAAGGCAATCTTACAAGGCCTAGTTTCAAAAGGAGATCAGTCACATATTCGTCTCTCTCTTCCACTGAAGATATTTCCTGCAGCTGGAGTTCAGCTGCAAGAGAAAGTGTTTCTCGAACAGTCAACTGTGAAAAGAAAAGATCTTCCTGCCTTACATAGGCAAACCTGCAACAGACAGCTTATTCATCATTCAAAAACCTCAAATTCCCCAAAATTAAACTTGTACAAGAGAAGTCAATCATGAGAAGCCTCCAAAAGGTTGTAAGCCGCATGATATAGTAGTTTTCACATACTTGTAAGCTTTGTTTGAGAATGGTTGCCCATTAACCTCTAAAAGGCCAGACAAATGCAATCTTGGTGATGCCACTATCTGACCTGCCAGAACATTGAGCAGAGTTGTCTTCCCTGACCCAGATGGTCCCATAATTGCAAGTAATCTACCAGGTTTTGCTTCTCCACTAACATTTTGCAGCAAAAATCGCACCTAAAAATCGAAACGACGACCTAAATTTCCATTTACTGCCATAAAATACTCAATGAAATAGAATCTAATTCTTAAAGCCTCGCTTTTCAGATAGATGAAACTGTAAAAACAAAAACATTACCCTTAAGACTTACATCTAAATGTTTTCAAAAGAGGAAAAACGTGACAAAATTTCAGAGTGAATTGCATCCAAATATAAATTTTTATAAATCTATGTCTACAAGTTCCACCCAAAATTAATTTGTACGTTCTGTAATATTATAATGCTATATTATTTATATAATTCATATTTTCTCAATTTGGAATCATTTAATTGTAAATCATTTTTGATTGAATTTAACCAAAATCAGTCAGAATAATCCAGCCATTCAATCAGAATTTTCACCTTCTACTTTATTACAATATTCAATTTTTCTTTTTCTTATTTCCCTCTCTTCCAAATTCCAAATGCACCACGCTTTTCAACTTTATAACATTTATTGACCTCAGGACCAATAACTAAACCAAGAAAAACACTTGATTTCCACCACAATCAAATAAGCTTTAATCTTATACTGCTACTTACAGTTCCAATAAATAAAAATTGCATGATATATGCACTTAATAAGTTATATTATGCATACTCACTGATTTGGAGGATTTGTCGGAGAGTGAACAGTTGATGTTAGTCCACTTAATAGTGACCGGCGAAACTTTTCCTTTGACCGGAGCTTCACGGTCTCCTTCCTCGTCGTCGGGGACATTCTCGGGAAGAATTTCTGGTCCGGGAGCAGAGAAAAGGCGGAGCAGTAGCGCCGCCGCGACTGCCGCCAGCAGCTGACCAACTCCTCCGCCTCCTTTCCCGCCAATTCTCAGCATTTTCCTATTTATGTTTGTCTAATTCTGGTTAGCTATATTGTGCAAAGAGCAGGGCAAGGTGGGTGCATACGACGCCGTGTCACTGGAATTTGCGTAACCCTATGTAGCCTCCAACTTCATGGTAGGAAAATGGCTAGCAAGGAGACTGATAGGTTTGATGAACACGTGTCGCAGCACGAAGAAGATAAGATTTTCCTTTTGAGTTTTTGCCCGTTGGAGAAATTAGCGTCTCTCGGAGCCACACGTTACGTAAACTGGAGTTTGCACCTCGCACCCCCAACCCATCGGGGGGCTGCGTGCAATAAATTAAAATTAGCATCTAGATTCGAAAATAAGGTAATACTATATGTGCAAAACGGTATACATAAAGGTTTATATTATGTACAAACTAAAATGTACAAGTATCATTTCCCATGAAAAGAAACCAATTCTTGAATAAAGAAATAAGCCTGTTTAACAATAAATATTTGAGAAAAATAATGTTTTGAATAATAATTTTTAGAAAAATATATGATTAAAAAGTAGGAAAAAATTTAAATTTACGTGCAAAATATTTTATTTTGTAAATGTGTGGTTGAAAATAATTAAATAGAAGAAAAAAGAGAATTTTCAATTGAGGTTAAGCCTCTGTTTGTCACTCATTATTTGAGAAATTAAAGAATTTTGAATAGTATTTTTCGAAAATGAGAGGTTAAAAAATAAAGAAACTTTATTAGTTTATGTGTAGAATATTATATTTTGTGAATGTGTGATGAATAATTATACTGTAATAAATAATTTATAATTTTAAAGGTGGTCAAACAGACACTAAATATATATAGGAATTTATATGGAAAAATAATAATTTAAATTTAGGTTAGATACATTCGTACCAGATTTTTTAATAGCTAGGCTATATTTTAATTGCATGAAAAATTCACAATCTTTATACGTTATCATATTTATGTCCCAAAAATTTTTCATGACATTCTTATTCTTAAATTAATATAATTGGTCGTAATTATGATTTCTTTCCAAAATTTTCTTTATGATAGAGTTAAAAAAAAAACATTAATTTTCTATTATATTTTTGAATAAGCAAAACAATAATACTACAAAAATATGATTAAATATTTGACACTTATTTAAAGTACATTAACAATATTTTTGGAAGAAAACTATAACTAAGGATAATATTTTTTTTTTATTAATGAAATGTTAAAAATAAAAAAATGATCGAAAAAAGTTAAGGATATAGGTGTGATAATGAAATAAAAGTTAATGACCTTTAATATAATTAAAATGTGGTGTGTTTATTAAAAAAAAATGTAGTGTGAATATAATTCCCTTAAATTTATTATCAGTATATTTTTTTTTCATGAATAATAATCCCCTAAATACAAAATGATATTCTTAAATTGTATATACATACTTCAAAATATAGATTGTCACAATCATGTAACTAGGAGTTACAATCATATAACATATATATTACAATCACACAATGTATTAGGATAAGCTCACATTTTCGTACGAATGATTGAATAATATTGTGGTCGATACCTATGACCAGAACAATTGTTTAAAAATGATTGCTCAGTTATGAGCTTCACCAATAGATGCATAAACGAAGTAGAAACTGTGACCAATTATTTTGAAAAAAAAAAAAAAATTGAGCAAGAAGGAAGCAATTATTATGCACAAATCACTATTATGGGTAACTACGTCATTGAAGACCGATACTCTATTTTTTGTTTTACGATTTGTGCAAAAGTTGAAAGGAAGATAATTGAGTATTAATTATCATCTATTAATTCTGAATTTAATTCACATTAATCATCTGTTTAAATCTATAATTTATAATTTTAAGAAACAGAATATTGATTTATGACATGATTTTTGGGAAAAGAATTTTTATTTATGATATATTTGAAATCTCATTCTTAAAATATGGTACATATGATTTTCCCTTCTCCCAATTCAATATAAATGAGGTATGCTATACTCGACCTCACCTCGCATCACCCCAAACCTATCGTTTAACTTGTTTTTTCCAAATGACAATTCACACTTCGCCGTGGCCACTACTTCCACCACCGCCACCCACTGGCAAGGAGAAGGAGATGGTGGTCAAAGTGTCATTAATGGTGGTGGTAGATTGAAATGGTGGAAGGTAGGGTTGGGAGTTGGGGACCTATTATAATGGTGGAGGTGGTGGTTGGTAGCATTAGGATTGTGGCGGTTTATTCATCGGAGCCCTATCCTCATTCCCCGATGCCGGAGTCCTCCATCTCACCCAAATATGTGTTTCTAGCAAGTGTGGAATTTAAAAAGTAAACAGGGTAGGTAGCATAGTTTTCTATTGCTATTCTTCTGCCAAATGGTTTGAATGGGTCGAGCCTTTGGGTTACTAGGTTGGAATATTTAGCCCGGCCTAGATCGAGTCGGCCAACTTTTTAGGATGTGCTTCAATTTATTTTCTAATCGTCATTGTTGTACTTATTTGTCTCTTATAATTTATCATGTCTGTTTTTTAGTTATTACATGTTCGACGATCAGATTTTTATCATATTGCATTGACGATCAATTTGTCATCCATTGATGAGAAACTTATATATATATATATATATATGGGCGAATTTAGGAGTTTTGAGTCAGTACGATGACCGTTGACTGTCTACCATCGATCACAATAAAATATTAAGAGTTCGTTTGATACCCAAAAAAAAAAAGCATTTTGTAATAGTGATTGATGGAGAATGTGTGCCTAAAAAAAGAAAATTGAATTTACGTGTACTATTATTTTATTGAAAAATATATGGTTGAAAAAAAGAAATAAAAAATGTACTTGAAAAAAATTATGAATCAAATAAGGCCTAAAGTTTAATATTAACAATTATTTTGTTCAAATTGAACATATGTAATTATTTTATAAGAATAAGCGGACTCATCAAATAACATTGTTGTCAAATTTTGTATAAAGGAAGAGCACATATTCATATCTTTACCATTGTACTCGCATTACAACAGATAGAACCTAACAAATTTTATTTTGTCAAACTTAGAGTGAATATTCAATGGATGCCATAGCGATCGAGTTTATAATACCTCTGACAAGAGGTCACAAGTTCAAATCTTGTTTGATCCCCCACCCTGTTAAATTTTGGCAAAAATTGTAGAATTTAAATATTATTGCACAATAAGTTTGTTGGTAAAAAAAATTCGAATTTGGGGCTCGCACTATATAAATTTAAGTTCTGACCAAGTGAGCCACAAGAAGTGCTAGAAAATAAACTGAATACCAGCAATATAACCTAAAACTTTAATCTATTGCCAACAAAAAAAAATAGCTCCTGACGGTTCCGGCAAATTGGCCGCCCTAACTCGCTACCACCTAAATCCGCCATTGTATATATTCAATCTATCGAACTATGGGAGATTATTTTATTTTATCGATAACTAAATTAGGAATTATTCCTCTTTAAACCTATCTTATCGAAAAATTATCTGTAAGGTTAGGGGTGTTAAATGAGGCGAGATGTCTTGCACTAGTCGTGAAACGAGTTGAGTGCGAGCCAGCTTGTGTTGAAGAATCTTGAGCTCGGTTAGCGAGATACTCAAAGATTATTTATTTATTTATTTTTTTCACGATAATTGCACTACAACTAATAGAGGTGTAATGAAAACGTAAATTTGAAAGAAAACATAACAAATTATAAATTTGTAAAAATTCTCATCCTTTTAACCGGGCTTGCAACATAATAACTATTAAAAATTTAAACAGAATTACAATTCTACAATCGTAGTCTGCAATTGTACTTCTGAAAAATTACATAATGACACTTTCATTTTCTTGAAAAGTTATTCGCCAATATAAACATGTGTTTTTCAAATTGCAATATTGTCTAGGCCACGTGATGCGTCTCGATCTTGAAAAAATTAATCTATTAATTTGTCTACTTTATATTGGGCACAAAGCTCTACGTGTTCAGTCTTCGTAATCCTTTAACTACAATAAACTATGAACATTCGATGAATGCATGAAATATATTTTCACGAAACTAGATGTGATTAGAATTTTTAGTTGATTGAACAAATTGGCCGCATCCATGATCTCCAAAAAAACTCCGAACTTGTTTTTTATTACTTCCTCGAGTCTACTCTCTTACTATGACACTCCTTTAATATCAGACATTTTATCTGATCAATACTCAATTCTATGACTTAAGTCACTACAAAAAATTAATGCACTCGTTATATGCACCTACATGAAATCTTACTATTACAAGTAGAACACCAAAGTTGACAGAGGAAAGAATGATAGAAAATGAAATGGAAAAGAAATATGTTTCCCTGAAGCATGCCTATTATAATAGGTAAAAATTCGAAAAAAAATATTTTTTTGAAATTTCAATTTCAATTTCAAAATTTTAATTTAATCCCATTTTTATTTAAATTTTGCTATTCATACATTTTTGGATTACACCATGTTGATATTTCCTTTGTTTTTCAAAAAATGTGTAGGCGGGAAAAATGTTTTTTAAGTGACGAATAATATGGCAAATTGTCAAACTTGATGTAGACCAAAGTGTACATCAAGTATGATTATTTTTATTTTTCAGTGGTAGGAGCCATCTGCCATGAATTAGAAACATACATGTGCACCGTTGGGCACTCATGCTTTAACAAGGGACCTAATGGGTTTGTCTATGCCCATTCATGGGCCGAGAATGAACTTGACCCACAGGCTCGCTCACAAGCTAGCTTACTCGACTTGCAAGTCAACGAGCGATTCATCACATAGAGCGTTGACCAGCTTACGCTCGCAACTTGTTACATATGAATTGATTGACGACTCGTCCAACTTTTCGCACTTAATTAAAATCAACGGTAAAAATAAAAGGAAAAAGTTGTTAAAGAACCCAGTCAAATAATGGATTTGATCAAATAACCTCATTCCAATATTTTTTTGGTCAAATAGCCTTCAATTATCAAACACAATAAATAAATAGTGTCGAATGTCATAAATACCATCACAATTGGAAAAGACCCTAAAACTCTTGTCAATCCAATTAAATTCTCTAATTCAATTTTTGGATCCCAAAATCACAATAGTTTTATTCTCTTCAACTATTATTGCTACTCTAAAATCCTATTATTCATTATATCTTTCACCTATTTGTGCATCTTTTGACCACTTATCATCTATATTGAAAAATCTCAATTACATTTGAAGAAAGAAGAAAG